AGTCAAGACACAATACATCCACTGCTTTCCCTTCATCCACAGAACCAGTAATCTCATCATAAAAGGCGATTAGATTAGTCAGGCATGACCTTCCCTTGGTGAATCCATGCTGGCTGTTCCTGATCACTTTCCTCTCATGCAAGTGCTTCAGGATTGATTCTTTGAGGACCTGCTCCATGATTTTTCCAGGGACTGAGGTGAGGCTGACTGGCCTGTAGTTCCCAGGATCCTCCTTCTTCCCTTTTTTAAAGATTGGCACTACATTAGCCTTTTTCCAGTCATCCGGGACTTCCCCGGTTCGCCACGAGTTTTCAAAGATAATGGCCAATGGCTCTGCAATCACAGCCGCCAATTCCTTCAGCACTCTCGGATGCAACTCGTCCGGCCCCATGGACTTGTGCACGTCCAGCTTTTCTAAATAGTCCCTAACCACCTCTTTCTCCACAGAGGGCTGGCCATCTCTTCCCCATTTTGCGATGCCCAGCGCAGCAGTCTGGGAGCTGACCTTGTTAGTGAAAACAGAGGCAAAAAAAGCATTGAGTACATTAGCTTTTTCCACATCCTCTGTCACTAGGTTGCCTCTCTCATTCAGTAAGGGGCCCACACTTTCCTTGGCTTTCTTCTTGTTGCCAACATACCTGAAGAAACCCTTCTTGTTACTCTTGACATCTCTGGCTAGCTGCAGCTCCAGGTGCGATTTGGCCCTCCTGATATCATTCCTACATGCCCGAGCAATATTTTTATACTCTTCCCTGGTCATATGTCCAACCTTCCACTTCTTGTAAGCTTCTTTTTTATGTTTAAGATCCGCTAGGATTTCACCATTAAGCCAAGCTGGTCGCCTGCCATATTTACTATTCTTTCGACTCATTGGGATGGTTTGTCCCTGTAACCTCAACAGGGATTCCTTGAAATACAGCCAGCTCTCCTGGACTCCTTTCCCCTTCAAGTTAGTCCCCCAGGGGATCCTACCCATCCGTTCCCTGAGGGAGTCGAAGTCTGCTTTCCTGAAGTCCCGGGTCCGTATCCTGCTGCTTACCTTTCTTCCCTGTGTCAGGATCCTGAACTCAACCAACTCATGGTCACTGCCTCCCAGATTCCCATCCACTTTTGCTTCCCCCACTAATTCTACCCGGTTTGTGAGCAGCAGGTCAAGAAAAGCGCCCCCCCTAGTTGGCTCCTCTAGCACTTGCACCAGGAAATTGTCCCCTACGCTTTCCAAAAACTTCCTGGATTGTCTATGCACTGCTGAAGTGAGCTGTAGCTCACGAAAGCTTATGCTCAAATAAATTGGTTAGTCTCTAAGGTGCCACAAGTCCTCCTTTTCTTTTTGCGAATACAGACTAACACGGCGGCTACTCTGAAACCTCTCAGGAGTTGTAGTGACTATTCAGAGAAGCCGGCAAGATGTAAGCCTCAGTGAGCTCTCCCCGGGCGAACTCCCAGGCAAACTCCCTCTGTTAGCCTCTCTGCTGGTCGCTGGTTTGCAGCTGACTGGCTTTTTATAACAGTCAGGCCCACTCAAGGCTCACCTCGAACAAAGCACACCCAATTCACACTTTGCAAACAACCAATCAAGCACACGGTCAAACTGTCCCCACTACAGACACTCAGATATTCACCAACACAGCCTCCCTAATGCAGCCCTTAGCGTACCTCCTCTCAGGCAGATCCCAGGCAAACTCCCTCTGTTAGCCTCTCTGCTGTTCGCCGCTCAGCTGGTTCGCAGCTGACTGACTTTTTAGAACAGTTTCCTCTCCCTTCACCTGATTTTTACATCAGTATTATGCCAATAACTTTGGTGCCATTCCTTGATTCCCACGAGGGTAAATGAAAGGAGAACCTGGCCCAGGGCCCCTAATGGTCACTGACTATGGGCTGCCGGGCAATGCTCTCTCCTCGCCGTCTAATCGCCTTCATAATGGCATTGGGGCTGCTTTGTCTGCAGAAGATATTAATAGCCCAGATTGTCCAATTTATCCTGTTACCTTCTTGGTGGGGACAACCAGAGCTGCCTATGGTGCTTTCTTATTGTTCTCCACGGGGGGAGCCTTCCCAGAGGAAAACTTGTTTTTCTTCTAAGCTTACCCTGCAGATTGAGTAGCTTTTAGTAAAGCAGTAGAAGAATGTCCGGTCCAGGTGAGGCATTTACAAAAGATGGACACAGCTTGACCAGCCAAGCTCCTCCTTTCCCTTCCAGTGACTGGGACTGACGGGAGATTTCTCATGCTGTCCAGGCCAAAGTGCAATAAATGCAAGAGCTGTCTGAGTGATTTGCAAAACTGATCACTTTGGTCCCTTACAGTCAGGCCTTTTTCCTCCTGGTTCATAGAATCATAGAATACCAGGCTTGGAAGGGACTCACGAGCTATCTAGTCCAACCCCTTGCTCAAAGCGGGACCAATCCCCAACTAAATCATCCTAGCCAGGGCTTTGTCAACCCTGACCTTAAAAACCTCAAAGGAAGGAGATTCTACCACCTCCCTAGGTAACACATTCCAGTGTTGGCATTCTGTTGCCATGGGCTCTTATTGCAAGTGACTTGGTGGGATAAAGGCACTGGATTTAGTAGGTGTCTCTTACAAAGGAAGTGGTACTTGTGTGATGGATTACGCTGCTCAAAAGGATTTAGAGTGGCTAAAAATCTACCCACTGCCAATAAAAAAGGGCCTGATCATGTTCTGAGGTTAGAAGGAGCACTTGCAAGTTTTTTACCTGACAAGCTCTGGTGTGGAGGGTGGAACGAGAAGAAGACTAGCCCAGAGGGTTGCTCCAAAGTTTTCTCTGAACTACACCAACCTTCTGAGCCCCCTTCCATCCCCGAACTGCAGCTCAGACCTTCCTTTCCCTCTAAACTTTTGAAAAGCTGTCACATGTGCAATCTGGCCTCCCCTAACATTCACCCCTTCTCCACACCACTTGCCAGATGCTGCAGGTGGCTACATCTCCAATACACATGCAAGTTCCCCCTTTGCCATTGCCCCTGTCTCTCCTGGCCCACTCTGCCTCCCCGGGACCTCCCTCCCATTGCTCCTGGCCCCCAGCTGTGTCCCCCTCCCCTCCCAATTGCTCCTGGCTCCCACTGCCTCCCCTAGTCCATGACCCCGGCCTCTACTGCCTCCCCACCCATCCTCCCGGTCCCCGCTGTTCCCCCTGGGCTCCCCAGCCATCGCCCTTGGGCCCCGCTGCCTCCCCCCATTGTCCCAAACTCCCTTCCATGGCCGGCCTCACAGCCCCACCCTGCTTCTTGTCTTTTGACCACACCCCCACCCGCTCTGGGCAGTGAAGGCCGACCCTGGTTGGATCCATCTGCTATTGTCCCTCAATTCACTCATCCTTGCACTTTAAAACTTCCCTGTTTTCATGCTCTAGAACAGAGGTGGGCAAACTACAGGCCACATCTGGCCTGCGGGACCCTCCTGCCTGGCCTGGGAGGCTGTCCCCCGGCCCCTCCCCTGCAGCCTCCACTCACTGCACGGCCGGCCGGCAACATGATGCTCCGGGTGGGGGGGCTGCGAGCTCCTGGGGCAGAGCAGCTGCAGAGCCCGGCCTGACCCTGGGCTCTGCGCTGCGCGGTGAGGGGGCAGGGAGAAGGGCGGGTTGGCTAGAGGGCAGGGGAGTTTGGGGGGTTGGTCAGCGGGTGGGGGGGTGGATAGGGGTCGGGGTGGTCAGAGGGCAGGGAACAGGGGGGATTGAATGGGGGCAGGGGTCTCAGGGGGGTAGTCAGGGAACAGGGGGGGTTGGATGGGGCAGGAGTCCCCGGGGGCTGTCAGGGGGCAAGAAGTTGGGGGGGGGGGCACACCTCCCTCCCCTAACTGGCCCTCCATACAATTTCCAAAACCTGATGCGGCCCTCAGGCCAAAAAGTTTGCCCGCCCCTGCTCTAGAATGATAACATTGCATCTCCGAAACCTCGGAGCAGTCTCTGAACCCTGGGATTTCAGGAGCGCAATGCACTGCGGGATGAAAATACCAGGGAAGTCTCCGACTGCAGGGACATGTAACTGGATCCAGCAGAGGATAAACTTTTCTTCAGGCTTAAATCTTGTTTTTCGAACAGGGCCTTATAGCAAAATCACTTTTAGTCCATCTCTGCCACTTACTCTTACTGTATCTATATGTTAATTATCAGTTTCCTTAAAGTTTTTCTCTGTGTAAGAGGGAAGGGTTGTTTAATTATTTAACAGTGCGTTTCTAAACTTAATAAATTGTCTTTCAAATCTCAGGGATTCTTTTATATAAGCAAGTTTTGTCTTGAAATTGCACAAGCACTAATCTTCCTTTCAGACTACAGTAATTACCATAATACCCTGTGGAATTGTCCCCAGATCAGTCCTAGGAAGTTTCATTCTGAGCCTAGTGCAGGCTGGGTTAGGAATTCTGCTCCCACTCCGTATCAGTGGGATTTAAACCCCCAACTCATCTCGGCCCCTTGGAAGACCCAGCCTGTGAGTTTAGTAGTGCCATGTGGATGCTCACTTTATGCAGCAATGACAAAGCTCAAACTCACGCACAGAATCTCAGCGCTTTGCTTTCAGGGGGTTCTAGGACCAAATGCTCCTGCGGAAGCACAGCGGTGGGGGCTGTCACAGGAGACCAGGAAGCAATCTATTTGCTAGTTGAGCCTGCTTCTGTCAGCTGAGAGCATTGTTTGTTTAACTGTGTGAAGCAAGCTTTGGCCTCATGCTAATGAGGTGTTGTGCCGGCAAGCAGAAATGCTGAGCTGTATTGTTCCGAAGGATATGCCCGTCTCTGGTGTGTAGCTTTTGTACTTCTGGCCACTAGGGAAGTTTGGGTATTTGGTACAAGAGCACTTGAAAGTGTTTTTTGTTTTGCTTTGGTAACAAGTCCCGCACACAGTGGGTGTATTTAGATGCAGGCAGAGCCTTCCCCAGTTAATTGGCCTTTTATAATACCCATTTGGTAACTGAGATGAGCAATTTGGGCAATGATCACTAGATGCTGTGAGCATGATCTAACCTCTGTAAATGTTTTTATTAGTCTTCAGTAGTAGAAGAGTGCAGTATCCCATAATAATTCAGCAAAGATGTGGATGGTGTCGCCCCCTTCTGGTGAGTACTTCTTGAAACTTTGAGCATGTCTTACTCCTTTCTGCTTACTGATCTACTGATCCAGCTCTTTTTTTTCCACTGAAAACACCAACAAACAAACCAGCATCCATAAAACTTGAGAACCAGAGAGGAAGCATGGAGCAAATGTTCGATTTATCATGCAAAGATGTTTAGTTGCCAGAGGTTTGTTAGTGTATAGATGAGGACGAGGGGAGAAAAGATTTCATTTTAGACCAGAAACTGCAAAGAGACAACCACCAAGCTTGTCCAGTAGTTCTTGCAGCTGGTTGGAAAATGGTGGGAATTTGTGAATGTTTTTGTACACCCCCTGCCCATCACTTGTTTTGGGGTCAGAATTTCAAAACTTTTCACCCACTTCTGGTCATTTTTGGCCAGTTGTGTTGCCCTTCTTAATGGGACCTTTTTTCTGGCTTTGATTACGGTTTGAGCAGAGGGAAGGAGTTGTAGTCTGAAATCCTGCAGAGCTACCAGACTGCAACTCCACAGATCCTGGGATTGTGGCATAGGCAGGCAGTGGTCCCTGGGTTTCCCATTTCCCCCTCTGCCAACCGCTCGATTCTTCCGAAGCCATTCTGACACTGGCTCTGCACCTCCCACACATGTTCACCCCATACTGTCCTAGATGAGGAATTGAAGGGGAAGCTGGAGTTCTCAGAATCCACCAGCTTCAAGTGGAGCATCTGGTCCCAGCACACCCCATCGTACTCCGCAGAGCCCCAGCCCTGTGGATGCTTGTGGAGGGACCGTTTATAGAGGAAAGGAGCACAGAGCAGAGTCACCGTGCCCTGCTTTCCACACCCTTTCTTCCTGCCTGTTCCTGGTGACTTTAGTTCCCCCTCTCCCCCTGGCCGAAGTATAAGGGTACAGCCAGCCCTTGGGCTGAAATGTGGCCTACCAGGCTTAGCCACACAAAGAACTACACAACATGTAGATGTAAGATTTGGGGCTAGTCTACAGTGGCAACGTAACATGGCTTGTATGGTCACAGCAGAGCCACCTCCACGGGGGACGCAGCTCCCAGCGCTGGGGCACTGTCTACACGGGCGCTTTACAGCGGTGATACTTACTGCGCTCAGGGGTGTGTTTTTTTTCACACCCCTGAGCAAGCAAGTTGCAGCCCTGGAAATTGCCAGTGTAGACAAGCCCTTAATAATTACTTGTGATTAACAATCCACTGGCATGTGGGGTTTATTACTCTGGTACAACTGAGACAAGGTGTAAAAAGATGAATTCAGCCAAAAGTCATTCCCCTTCTTTTCAGTACTTCATGGAAAAAATAAAACTTGACCTCTTATTAATGGCAGTAGCTCCTGTCATCTGAAGTCCCAAGAACAGGAGACTTCATTGCACTTAATGTACAAACCTAGAGGAAGACATGGTTTCTGTCTCAAAGAGCTTAAAATATTAAACATAATCATTTAACATTCTGACCAGCCTGGCCTGCTGGGGTCTCAGTGTAATTTTAACATGTGTTTGTGTGTATTAAAATCCCCCCCCCCCCCCAAGTGCACTGTAAGTGTTGGTTTGACAAGGAACAAAGCCTGGAGATTGAAAGTTAAGCCTGACACTGTTCTTGTACTTGGGGCCCAGTCCATTTCCTGTTGAAATCCATGAGTCTTTCCATGGAATTTAATGGCTCTTGGATCAGGGCCTTTTCTGTCTCCGTTTGTGATAGGCTGACCAAGGAGCCAAATAGCTATATTCTGCGATGGGTGCATGCGACTCTCCTTGAAGTCATTAGGAGCTGTGCACACGCATCCAAAGGCAGTATTTGGTCTGTAATGTGTGATTCTGTGATGTCCATAAAGTTCCTTCCTTGATATTGCTGAGGTTGGTTTGTTTGTGGTTGTTTTAACGTAGGTTTGAGTTTTCTCTTTCCTCACTGGTCGCCATGTCTGTGTTCTAGAAGGTTTTTCACACAACCATTCCTGGGCATGATCCATCTTTACTTCTGAACTTTCACAATCTGATTTGAATGATCGTGTAACTACTAATTACCAAACAACCCCCCAGCGACAGTTCCCTTCCAAGATAGCCGGTCCCTATGCTGTCACATGCTGCCCTCCACCTAATGAGGAAACAAGTAGGAAAACACAGGTTCTGAATTAGCATTTCTTCAGCTCCCCTAAAACACAGTATGTGCCAAGGGAGCATTTTTACTTAGAAATCCTCTCCTGAATGGCCCTACAGTATCAGGATTGTGTGATATTGCTAGTTTTTAAATGTCTCTGACTATTTCCTTTTTTTCACATTCACTCCACTGGAGGTATACAACTCGAGAGGCTCTGTGTGCTGCTTATGAGAGAATCTAGCTGGCTCATGTGATAGCTGCTTCTCTCCTACTATCCTTTTTCTCCCTGCTAGCCTAACGCAGACTGCAGTCAGCTTGAACTAGCAATTGTGTACTCCTGTGCAGTTGGTAAGGGTGAGTTCCGTCTGCTTTGAACAAGAGAGGTGATTGCATTGGGGAACAGGAATTGGATCCTATTTTAAATACTTCCTTCTAACAGCCAAGGAATACACTGGATGTAGCTGAGTCATGCAAAACCACTGTCTTTAAGGTTTGAATGGAGACGGGTTTAAATTTCGTAAACTGTAATTTCTGTTTTGCTTGGTTGCAGAATGACTGGATTTGTAGCATGAGATTAGCTTTCACAGCCTCTCCGTGCAACAGTTTCTCCATTGGGTTAAGATGCCAGCGTTCGATTGAAATTAATCGTGGGTGAAATCCCCTCTTCCCTCCCCCCCCCGCCCCACAGAAGGATTACACGAGAGCAATACAGCCGTGCTGTCCTGTGTACCTGGGATGCAATTTTGAAACTTGTCCTGAATCATTCTTGTGACCCTGAGCCCAGACTGTGTGTTTTCTCTGGTAGTGATGTCAATCAGGGCAAACACCACGTGAAGTCGATGGCATTATGCTGGTGTAAAAGCAGGATAAGTGAGATCAGAATCTGGCCTTGGGTGTCTCCCCAGTCTCAATATGTCTAATTATACCCATCTATTTGACAGTGTCACAGAATCCATCCTGTGCCACAGAAGTGCATTTCATTTTTTTAAAAAGTGCTCATCCCTGTGTTTGCCAGATAACCTTTTAAGTGTGAACTGAGCCTACATCAATGCAAAATTGTCTTGCTGATTATGCAGCCGGCTGGGAACAACATCTGAGAGATGGTGACTAGCCCCATTCATGTCAGTGGCGTGTTGGCTATTGATGGCTGATGATGAAAATTCAAATGCTCCTGTTTAACTCTTTCACTCTAGCAAGTTAATTCAGCTAATATGTCCAGCCCATGCCTTCCTAGTTGCCAAAACCTCAGCTTCTCCCTGACATCTTCTGCACTGCAGTTGAGTTGCCAATACACAGTGCTTTGCAAATATTGTGGGAGTGGAAAAGAAATTCATTTTAATGTAGATATAAATAATGCAGGAGCTTCCGTAGTGATTGTGTGAAGCATTTTCATATGTAATTGAAAAAAGCCTTTAAAAGAAACCACATTTTCCTGAAGCTGCTGCAGAATTTCTACGTTTCAGCACTGGGGTCCTATAGAAATCAGGGGACCTTGCTGTAGAAGGTAGAGGAATAGACAGTCTCTTAATTATGTCCCATTCACATCAGCATGAACAACGGAGTTAGCAGAGATAGTGTTTAAATCCTGTGCGACTGATTCTGATTGCACTTTGTGGTGGAAAAACTAGTGTAATGCCATTAACCTCATTGATGTTACTGCTGATTAACACTAGTTTATGTGAGTGAGAAGTTGTGTGTTCTACCCCCATTTGCATAGGTGTAAATGGCTGCACAAGACGTAAGACAGTGGAGAGGCAGGTCCTTGGGGATGATAGTGCAGGCAGGGAATGCAGATCAGGCTGTTGTCTCTTTGCCACTCAGCTCCCTGTATTATTAGAGAACAGAGGGGTGACATGTCTTGTTTAATTGTGGCTGGAAATTGATAACTTGCTTTGTAAGCAGCACATTTCATGCTTTCGTGAACAGGTGAGAGAGGGGGAAGCACGTTCATATTTTAAAGGTAACTTTGCTGAAAGGCTTTTGCTTGGTAGACTGAGATAATTGAAGTCATACAAAATTAGTTATAGTGAGACTAAGGGGAATTTTACTGCAAATCTGTCCTTTAAAAGGACACTGAGGTTTAAGTTCCATTTTTCTTGCTGATTAATCACCCTTTGGGAACTTGATACTGAAATTCCCTTATCAGAATTATGTTCTTTAAAACTTGCATGCATGACTGCTGGGTGACTTGCATGGGTTTTTTCTTATCTGAGAAAATAGCATTTAAGTATTGAGCTGTTAATGAATTATGTAGGTTTTTGCAAATACAAGTTAGCTCTTTGGGTCTACCAACCTTGATGTCCCTTTTCATGGGATTAACTGAAGGAAAATGTATTGATCATAGCATCTAAGCATGCTGGCTTTTCTGAGGGCTTGTCTACACTACCGCGCAGGGTCAATCTAGGATATGGAACTTCAGCTACGTGAATAGCGTAGCTGATGTCGACGTCTTAGATCTACTTGTGGTAAGACGACAGCTGACGCTCTCCCATCGACTCAGCATGTGCATCTCGTTCTGGTGGAGTACCGGAGTCGACAGAAGAGCGTTCAGCGGTCGATTTATCGCGTCTATACCTGATCCAGCAGGTAGTGTAGACAAGCCCTGAGTTTAGCTCTCCAAATTGGGGAGAGTGGGAGGAGTTACTTTAATTTAGTCTGACCACAGTTTCTAGGGGTTCTTAGACTCAGCCTTTGCATCAACCCATGCCAGCTGTTAAAAAGCTCTGAGGCTACCATAACAAAGCTCATGTTTTGAAACCTAGATGACTTTTTTTCAAGTACAAGGTGGTGATCCAGAATATGGTAGGTTCCTGATGGACAGGAAGGCCCTTCTGGGTTGGAAGCACAAACAGTTGCTTCACTGGAAACAAAAATAGCAGTTTACCACTTAATCTTCATAGGAGTCTAC